AAATAATTATTATAAAAAAACGATGTTTTAATTAAATTTTATCTCAAATGAATTATTTATCGACTTATGTTCTGCATCCTAATTCAAGTTAATTAATATATAAACTTGAACTTATAACTTATCTTAAATATTATTGATAAAGTTTGATTTGTAAATTTTTAATAATCACATGATATAAAATAATAACAAATTTGTAGTTTGTTTTTCGAGATGTAGTTTACCAATATGATTATAAATTATGTATTACATAATACACATGCAAAAATTAAAATGGTCCAAATGCTATTCAATAATTCCTGCATAAAGAATTTTACGTAAAATTCAATTTTTGATAATAATTATTTTGATATCTTTGCGATATATCGGCATTGTTATTTTAATATATGGTAAATTCAGATCGTATGATCGAGATATGCATAAACCAGTATTCGTTTCTTTAACACGAAATCATTCATATCTAGATGAAATAGCAATTGTGTTTACGAGCGAAACAATGTCCAGACAAACAATAAATAGCTCGATTTTGTATTTCATTCATATTCTACCGCGCTGCCGCTGCCGCTGTTCATTAGCATGTCACATAAAAGCGGTTTGTCCGTTGCCAATAAATACGCAATTTTCGCGATGAATATATCTGACTTAAAATTTTTGAAATTACGGAACATTAATATAATTGCACCAAAAATCAAACGAGCTAGCGACCGAATATCCCTGTTTACATGGTGAACCGCAAAACACACCGGTTATTCGTGATTGTCAAATTTCAAAGAGCTGATTATGCATATTATAAAATTACATCGCATTATATTCTCTTTTATTTTAATATATTTTGTTTTATATTTTACTTATTTTTCAGTATTTTAAGCAAATACAAATAATTAATACGAATGTTAACATTATTTATATATTTTATTCTCAATTTTAATTTTATAAAAGACTTTGCAATGTGTCATTTTTGCATGAATAATTTTATGCACAAAAATACGACCACAAATGACGTTTAAACAAAATCAGTTTTCTTATATGTGATATAAATATATAGAGTTGTACACGATATATAGATTATTTAAGCATTTTGTATAATTTATACGATTTTTTGCATTAGCTCCTTTGCATTAAATGCTAAATTTGAGTAGAATATTCTTTTTATATTCATCGAACGAGACGGTTACGCGCAGAGAAAAAAAGAATCAAATCATACACTGCGTCAATTCGTGTGTGCGCAAATCGAAAAGAGCAACCGACTGCGTTCGGGCAATTTTCCGGGCGTTCACAGCGCAAAAATCACCGCGTGCATGTCACGCACACAAAGCACCAAATGTATAAAGCATGCCGTCATAGAATGGCATTGACGAAATAAGCGGACAGGTGCGGACGACTGGCCGACAACCCGATGACCTAGATACCTTCGATGATATTGATTAGCCATCAAATGTCCGTACAGCCGCAACCATCAAACGCGTCGGCATCTTACCCCTCTCCTCCTTCCCCTTTCCTTTTCCGACCGTCGTCCGTCCCTCGTTTGTCCTCTGATGTCTGTATTATTCGATCTTGTATCTCTCGTACTTACCCAACCTCGTCCGTTGTCTCCTCGCTCGACCACTTGCCTGCCTCCCGATGTCCCTTTTCGTTTCCCTGCGCGACAAAATTGGATTTATGGCTTTATTTTCCTCCTTTGCGGACAACATCTATCAGCAAATTGTTCCCCGAAAGCGCTGCTCCGTATTACGACGAAATAATGGAGTCTGGACAAGGTTTCTTCTCATCGTAAGCGCAACGTAATCGAGAAATCCTAAAACACACAAAGTTTTGTAGTAGATGTCTTGATATTTGATAAAAAAGTTACTTGTTTGGCTTTTTTTAATGTAATTATTTTTGTGCGGAGTATATCTTATATCCCGATATTTTATTTCTCTCATTCTTTTAATGTTTTACAATTAATATATAATTAATACATAAATTAATACATAAATTAATACATAACAATATTTTACAATAAATTTTATAATTATACAATCCAATAAATAGGAAAATATCTATGAAAATAATTAATTGTGTAATATCAAAATTTATTTACCAATTAATGTTGCGTTGCTGCAATTTATTGGCTCTACTTGCTTCAACACACACTTACACGATACTAATATCACGATGCGACCGATAAATTCATACGGCACTACCGATTTTACAAGCGCGGTGCACTTTTGACGTGAAAAACGACGATTCCGAAACAATATCAATTACTACAAACGCGAATGATTTAGTAAATGGCCGACATAACTTCTGGTTACGACGCGATGAATGCAACGGTCGCGATTGACTTTACGAATATTGCGAGATTGATAATCGCGACCGTATGTGTTAATTAACATTTTACGACGATCGTTCGTTACTCGATTTAAGTCCTTGACGCGTTTGCGATACGTATAAAAAGTTTGAAAAACTGCGCCAATGAACAAAGATATCCGACGCGGCGCGATAAATGTGAATGATTTTGCAAATATTCAACTCCGCCGTCGTCCCGCGAACAAATTACGCCAGAAGATAGGCGCAACTCACACGAGAGGCGTCTGGGTTCTAGGCGTTCTAGCAGCACTATTGCCAGCAAATTAGCGGGAACAATAGACCTCGTGACGTCACTGGCGTCTATTCGTTTAATTGCATTTCTGCCCTTAAGATGTAATATTGAAATAAAAGATATAGTTCTTGGAAGAAAAAAGAATAAAGAAATTAAATACAGAAAGCGTAACTTTAATGGACAAAGCTATTTTTATATGTCGATTACGTAATCAAATTCAATAATTTGTATCAATCGTTCGATCTATAATAATTATATAAAAAAATAATTAATTGTGTAATATATCAAAATTTATTTACTAATTAATGTTGCGTTGCTGCAATTTATTGACTCTGCTTATGCTTTAATACATACTTACGTGGTACTATAATTATTACTTACGATGCAACCAATAAATTTATACGGCACTATCGATTTTACGAGCGGTGCACTTTTGATGTGAAAAACGACGATTCCGAAACAATATTAATTACTACAAACGAATGATTTAGCAAATAGCTTTTGGCTACGACGTGATGAACGCGATGATCGCGATTGACGAATGTTGCGAGATTTCAATATTGTATCTTAAGGGTCATTCTACAATGCGTCGCAAATGCCCCGTCACCAGTCGCGAATGCCCCGACTTACCAAAAATAACTAGAAATAGCACTTTTCAATCAGTAATTGCTATCCGCGATTGGCCACAGGACATTTGCGACGCATTGTAGAATGACCCTAAGGGTAAAAATGCAATTAAACGAATAGACTCTAATGACGTCATGAGATCTATCGTTCCCGCCAATCTGTTGGCGACAGTGCTGCTAGAACGCCTAGGCCTAGAATCCGGACACCTCTCGCGTAAAGACGTCTTTTCGCGCTGACGCTCGACGCTTAATTTCAACGTTAGAAAATATCATGTAACCAAAAACTATTGCAACGGTTCGTTATTTTTAGTTACGTGATGTCTTCTAACACTGAAATTGTGCGTTGAGCGTCAGCGTGATAAGGTACCATAAGCCGCGTCTGTCCTCTGGCGTTACTCGTTCGCGAGACGACGGTGGAGCTGGATGCAAGTGGCGTCTTGCGTTTTACGCGCGTTTATCTTTTTTCGTAAGGAACTTTTTATACATAGTTCGTATCTCAAACGCGTCGAATCGAGCAACGAGTGATCGTGAAATGTTAATAAATGCATACAGTCGCGATTATCAATCTCGCAACATTCGTAAAGTCGATCATCGCGTTTATCGCATCGTAACCAGAAGTTATGTCGGCCATTTGCTAAATTGAGCGTCGGTATGAAGTTATTCGCATCTTTTTACTTCGATTTACTTCGATTTTTCCGTTGATGATAAAAGCGAATAAATCTGGCATTATCGTAATGCTATATTTCTGAATAGAATCGTTTCGCGTTTGTAATAATCGAGAGTGTTTTAGAATTATATTTTGTGTTGAAAATGCATCGCACTTGTAAAACTCGGCAATATCGGGAGTGCCGGGAGTGTCGGAAGTGTCGGGAATTGACTGGTCGCATCGTGATAATTAGTGCTATAAAAGGATGTATTTGGAGTTAATAATGCAGCCAGCAGCGGAGTCAATGGATTGCAACAGCAGGACATCAACTGGTGAGTTAATTTTAATATCATATATTATTTAGTACTGAATAACAATTAATGATAAAAAAAACATTTGTGAAGATATTTGTTGCGCATTGTTGCTATTTCTTAATATTTAATTGTATTGTTAGCCAAAGTGCTATGCTACATTATTGATTCCTAAGCTATGAATTTATTTATGAATCATGTATTATTATGGTTGTATTTTACAATGATTGAAATATTAATCTTTGGTCTAGTTTTCTCTAATTAAATAGTACAAAAAAAATATTCTAATTTTCTTTGCATTTTTAAATGCAAAATTTGAATTTTTACTACAGAAAAAGACTTAAAAATAGCGTATTTACAAAGAAGGAGAGACAATATTAGGAAAATATTAGATTTTTATGTAAAAATAATGCTAATATTAATTACTGTATATGTAACTTTTATTAAGGATTTAATTAAGATTAAGAAATTTTTTTTGTTTTGCAAATTATTTGATTTTTTAAAGTAAAATTTTGTATTTATTTATAAATAAAATATTGTTTTCTATTTGCATTCTTGAAGAAAAGTTTGTTTAAAAGAATTTAATCAGATACAATATATAACTTGATATCTTAATATTTTTATCAAGAAATATTCCAGTTTTTATAAGAAATATTGTTTCACATATTATGTGCAATATTTTAACAAAAATTTTTAACAAAAAAATTATTAATTCTATCACATTTCTAATGCATTTTATGTCTTTTCGTATAGTTTTATTTGTTGTATTCTATTATACGTACTATGTTTTAAATATTACAAACTGCAGAAAGATTATAGGAAATACATTTTAGAAAAATAAATAAAAGGTAATTTATACATATAATACTTCTGTCACATGAATTAGCCGCCGTTTAGTTAAACTGGTTGCGAGGCGAAAAGGCTCGAACGTGGCCGACTAATCATATGATATGGTCGGCGAGACCGGTTTAGTACCCGCGCTTTTCTCACCTGTTGCTGACAGCATGCGCGCGTGCGATTATTTCGGTTGGCTCGAAAAAAACGCGGCAGTGACAATTTGACGCAGTCTGTTGCACGTTGTTCGCATAAATGTTCCAGATGAGAGCGTATTTCGTTGTCGAAAGTGCACAGTGCTTATTTATTCTATGCATAGCTTATTCAGCGTGTAACATAACCTAGAATTTCATGAGTGTGATGTTTTCCGGTATAGAGAATTGATAAAAGTTATACAACAAAGTTGACTGTAGGACATAACAATGAGTGTGTGTCATTGTTAACTTGATTTTTTGAAAAGTTTTCAGCACATTTCTCAGGATTTCGCTGACGAATATTTTAAAACGTGCTTATTATATTATCAGTGACTTTTGACAAGTTAAAGCAACTATATTTTATAAAATAAATGAATAATATTTGTTACACATTAACATCTACACAACAATTCTGACGAAAATTATATAAAGAAACCAAGATAAGTAAAATTTTTATTTTAAATATTTGTTCTTATACATTCATATGGGCTAATGGATCATATACATTATTAATTTCTTTATTAATCGTTCATACAAACCAAAAAGATAGAAGATATAATATAAAGATTGAAACACATTAAAGATTTTGCAATATAAATTACTCAAATATGACAGATTATCTTTCTGCTGAGCTCACAGCCACTTGCGCTGGGCTTGGATATTTTGATGGAAATGACTACCATTTAGACAAGCATTGCTTAGGTAAAAATATTTACCTTATATTTTATTTTGAGCTGCTTTATTTCAAATAGATTAAATATTTCATAATGTAATTAACTTGTATAACTTGTTGATAGATGTTATAAAAGATCTTATCAGATATCTTAAAAGAGATGATGATACTCACACTATAAGACGTTTTCTTGGTCAAACAAAATTACTTCAAACAGATCTTGTGAGGATTTTTATACATCATGCTAATAATACTGAACTATGGGATATCTTATTACGGTATGTGTTAATTAGCATACTAAAACAGAAACATTTTGGTTGTGTAAGAGATCATATGACTCATATTCTTGATATAATTAAATTTTATTTTTCTTCTTTTTTTAACAGATTGATTATTAATTTAACAAGCCCCGCGTTTTTAATTTACAATGAGCAAATACCAACTGAGAAAACAACATATAGTTTGTATCAACAAATTATTTTGTACTTACAAGAGTATAAGGCAGCTTTAACCGATGAAAGTGTATGGTTGGCAGTAGTTGGGCGTTTGGGGACATTACTAAGTATTGTAAGTGGCAAAATTTGGAATATCCTAATGAATACTGAGCTGATTGTGAAATAATTTTTATATTATAGGATAATGCAGAAAGGGGGGAGGAAGATGAGTTAATAATTGAAAGAATATTGGTTTTCATTAGAAATGTATTGCAAGTACCACCTAATGATAATGATAAAAGAGCTGATAATGATGCCACTGTTCATGATGAGGTGAATTAACATTCAGACGAGTTTTGCATTTTTTAACTTGGTGTGTTAAAAATGATTTTGATTAAGATTTTTTTTCTTTTAGATATTATTTGCATTTCATGCATCAGGTATTGTGGATATATTGTTGTTCATTGGCAGTAACAATAAAGAACAACAATATCACATGCAGATTTTAGAGGTATACACAAAACACAACTTAAATTTTTATTTGTCTTATTTCTTATATAACTAGGAAAATAATACTGTTACTTAATAATTTATTCCTTTCTGTTTGTTATTAATAACAATATTATTTTATTATTTGGATAGGTAATATCTTTAATGTTACGTGAACAAAATGCAAGCCAGTTGGCTGCATCTGGATTGCAGCGTAGTACTGCTGAAAAAGAAAATGACGAGGCTAAACTTGTAGACTTGCGACAAAAGGAATTACGTGAAAAGATGGAAAAAATGAAAAAATATGCTGGTTCGCGGTGAGTCTGTATCATTTATTGATAATAGTATTACTAATTTATAAATAAAATTAGTAATGAGACCAGTAATGAGATTTTACAAGATTAAGATGAACGCATATTGAGTTAGATTATGTTCATGTTACAATTGTGTGAAGTAATTGTAAAAGAGAAAGCTATTATTGTCTAAATTAATTTTTAACAAAATTAAAATTATTTAATTTATTATAAGAACTATGGTTGTTTAAAATAATCTAAAGAAAATAACATTTATACAAACTACATTTTATTTAAATGCTTGGAAATATTAATCTAATAACTCAGAAACTAAAATTCTCTTTAGATATAAGCTTTTAATGAACTTATTCCGTATTCAGTGCAAGCCAATTGCCATAATAACATCTTCCTTCAATTTTATTCATACGTTAGTTGTATTATCCGCACGATTTTATTATGAAACACGAGAGAATGCATTCGCGCTGCTGGACAGCTACCGCGTAATTACAGTTTTAATGAACATCTGTAGCTAAAAGCTTATAATCTTAAAAATGGGATGACTAAAAGACGTCGATCTTTATTTGACGGATACCTTTGGAGAATTTCGCGGCAGTGCGGTGCAACTCACGAAATGCGTGTAATGAATATGACCTAGTTTTTAAGATAGGATCGTTCGAAGCATGAATGGAAGCTTTTATCCACTTGTTGGAGAGAAGCGAGCCGTATTCTTGTAACGAGCACCCGTGGAAAGAGAAGCCCATGGATGCGCGCATCCACGTCTTTGCGAAAGGCTTTTTACGACTTGAAAGAGACTGGAAGCGCGGAGAGAAGGTTTCTCTCCGCCTTCCGCGTGTTTTCTATCGACCGATGGAAAGATAATTTGATCGGAAAACGATAAAGCCGCGCCTAGCTGTGTCACGAACACAGATCTCTCTTTGATAGCAATAGTAAACATAGTCACAAAAATTGAACGGTTGTGTTATGTATATCATTCATTTCATATATACTCATCGCGATATAATATATAATATAATCTCGAATTGTGTTTATAAATTATTTTACATTTTTTGTTATCTTTATTTTATTTATGTTAATTTATCTTTTCGTTATTTTATATATTTATTTCCTTTGATAACTATAAAATGTTTCTAAATGTTTGAAAGATTAGTTTAATATTTTTGATTGGTTAATGTAAATTATAAATTATTTATTTTAATTTTATTCGTGACGAGATATTCGTACGTTTTTATGTATTTTGGGAAGTTAACTATCTATTTAAAAAATATTTGAAGAAAGATGATGGAACCGGGCTTCTCGCGAAAAAGTAGGAGCAAGTGGATAGGGTGCGTGTCTTCGTCATTTAAGAAACTATCTGCCGGTGACAGCTGTCTTCTATTCCATTGATTGGATCTTCGGGAGTCATGGATGAAATTGGATTTGAATGATCGGTTCCTTTTTTAGTAGCGAGGGAGTTATTCCCGTTTCTCCATTTGCGTGCGTATAGAGGCGAGAGGGAAGGGATTGCTCAAAATTTTAAGACAAATTCTATTTTGTTCGGAATGCATATAAAATTTGTTTAGATTTTATATCGTAATATAAAATCGACTATGTTTGTTTGAACTTTGAAAGTGCTTTTAACTGAAAAATGGGTTTAATCTTTAATATTTTTTTCTGTAATTAATTAGGCATTCACGATTTGGCGGTACTTATGTTGTGCAAAATATGAAAGCCATTGGAGAAAATCAAATGATATGCCATAAACCATATCAAAAAATTGAAGCGCTAGAATTCGGTCACAATAAGGTAAATTTTGCAAACAGTCGATTATTAATCCGTCATCCGTCATTTTGAATCAGAAGTTTCTTATGTAAGTGAATCTGTACATAGATTAGTAGAAAATTATACATATCTTTTTTTGTAACAGAAAAGAGTAAAGCGACGCAAAGACAAAATCGGTCTACAAGATACGAAAGGGGAGCGTACATCCGCTCTTAGCGTGCGGCTCTTTCTAAAGGAATTTTGCGTAGAATTTCTTAGCGGTGCTTACAATCCTGTGATGAAATTCGCTAGATCTTGCATTATTAATGCTGTTCATGGCGAAGCGTTCGAAACGACTTCCTATTTGTGGGCACTACGTTTTTTCATGGAATTCAATCGCCATTACAAGTTCCAAGTGAAATATGTTAGGTAAATCTTCGCACTTCAACTTTCTCATAGTGAAGTCCACATTTTCGCATACCCTGGCTAAAGAGGCAAAAAAGTAGACAGTTTCCGAACTCGTTTTACGCATCGTCGCTTTCTTTTAGATCTTATCCGAGGACAAAATTTTTCAGCGTCCGCGTGTACAGGGTGAGCCAACTAATTTTATAAAAAGCATGGAATAATTTTCACGATAATGGAAAAGAATTATTAAATATCCATTGCAAAATTTTGCAGGAAATTTCGTATTAATATTTAATATAATTTTTTTCAATGCTGTTCAACAGCACGCAATAAATAATTTGCGTATTTTTGTTTATACTAGAAATTAAAAAAAAAAAAATAAAAGTTATTCCAGATCATAAAGTTAGGTAAACTCATCTTGTATATTTGCACATTTTTCGTTTAAACAATATACATATACGTATGTATATCACATGGCTCGAATTTTGTTTACGATTGTTATCTATAGAATATCACGCGTCGATGCAGACGATGTTCCGCTTTTATCGGATCAAATTTAGTGACAGATTGTTTGACCCCAATTCTTTTTTTTACAAGCGTATCAAAAATTCCATTTCAATTTCACACATTTTGATTTTGCACGAATTTAAAAATTTCAACATTTAATGCTATTAATATACCTATAAGTGACAATGCTATTATTTTTTTTATTTTTCTAATTTTTTTTGTAGCGAAACTATATCCACCGAAGTATTTCATTTAGTACAAAGACAAATGGAAGAATATTACGAGATGATGATAACTGATAAGAAAAAGATACCGCTTTGGGCTCGTAGGTTGCATTTAGCGTTAAAAGCGTATCAGGTAAAAAGTTATACGATAATTAGTATCGCATGCCAATGTCGAAATAAATTACCGACAATACGTTTCGCATTTTAGGAACTTCTTAACACTCTTATAGCAATGGATAAAAGCACAGATGACGGTGTTAGGAAATCTAATAAAATAATCAAAAGCAATATTTTTTACGTTCCGGAATATCGGGAAACAATATTCTCTCAGCTTTTATGCTTCGATGAAACTAAAATGTCACGGTAAGTGTGTAAAATTTCATCATCATGATGGTGACTAGAAAATTGCGTAATTTGATATATTGATTTTTATTTAAAAAGTTGAGAGATTATCAATATAAAAATATAATTTGATATCGTATCGTTATCCTCTTAATTTTTTTTTTTACTAGAGTCGGTAATCGTTCTCTTTTGAATTGGCGAAATAAACCGCGAATTTTCAGCAGGTCGTAGTAAACGTGATGCAGGTATCGCGAAAAGTTACGCGACGCGACGTCGTCCTACGGTGAACAATCGCGTCTGCGAACCGGGCGAATCCGCGTCGCGCGAAGAGAAGAGAAACTCTTTACCGAAAGTTTTATCTACCGCAGACAGATTGATTCACTTTCGGATCAATCGGTTCGGACCAGCCAGGAAGCCACTCCGGCATCCCTCCGACGCCGTTCCTTTTCGACTATTTCTCTTCCTTCGGCGGCTAGTCTCGCCGGTTCTCGCACCCACCCGCGTTTTCTTCCTCCCCGTCTACGGTTCCTCGGCGGAATAAACAACTTTTATCGACCTTCCGGTCGGCGAAATGGGAAAAGGCGGTGGGCGTTCAACTTGCTACGAGTTTGACGGGTTTTGCGCGGATTTCCACGACGGAAATGTAAGGGCGGCGCGACGTACCGCAATGCCGTGTTGCTACTTTGACGTTACCGGCGACGCTGACGAAAACAGGACGACGGCTCCGTCAAACTTTAGCTTTCGCTGTAGTAACGCTGCCGGAACTAGATTGACAAATTAATGCGCGAGTGGCGGGATTGAATTAATTTCTTGTTGCAAGGAAGAAGGGTGATTCAAGTTCACCGTCATCCTTGCTATTATACTGTATGAAACAATGTGACTACGTAAATACACTTATCCTTCAGGTTATACTTAGTAGATCTAGTGACGACTGCTCACATATTTCTGAAAATGCTTGAGCATTTTTGCCAAAAAGGCCAACGACATCTCATAGTTCAAAAAGTGAAGCCAAAGAGGCAAAAAGCTAAGAAACGAAAGAGTAAGTTTTTACTTGAAGTGCTTGAAATGATAGAAAATTGAGTTCGATATCGTTTCATGCGCGAAATTGTTTTTTTTTAAGCAGAGTCTGCTCAAAAGAATGTAATTCCGGCTCTTCCTACGTTGGAAGAACGTTGGGACGCTACCGGTCCTGAATTATCTGCTGTAATGCGAGATGCTGTTATACCGGAAATGATACCGTTCGATGCAACTTTAGACACGTCGATTGACGATCAGAAGTACGTTCTTTTTAGAATTGCGTGTCTGAAATAATATTTACGTCGTTATTGGAGTTTTCGAAGCGGTAGAAACCGCGCATTTGTGTTTTATATTTATGTCTTGATTTTTAGAACGGACGCCATGAAGAGAATCCAGAAATTCATGCGGCGGAAGAACTTGGAACAGGCGGTGGGTCTCTTACGTGCAGCAAGGTAAGGAAACGTGTTTATTTTGAGAAGCGATTGCAGGAAAGTAACTCGTTGTCATGAAACTCTTCGTACCGGAGCGATGTCGACGCTGTTCATTGTTTATTTTGAGAATCAGTCTCGCGCCAACTAAACCCGTCGTCATGCGATACGACGAGCAAGAGATTCTAACCTTTCTATCTTGTTTAAATGAAGTGCACGAGAAACGTTGTTATTTCAACGCTTGTTACGGTAAAAAATTTCATGTAATGTCTAGTTTGTAACGTGGTAATTTAATATATAGTATAATCAATATATGTAGAAATTTATATGGAAATTGGTTCCGACATAGTAAAAAATCGGCTTTGTGTTTTTCACACAGTAACTCGTACTTCCACTTCGCAGCGTTTAATTTTTCGTTCACGCTGTTTTTTTTTTAATATAATCAATAAAAGTTCTTTTGATCTTTTTGTTATATTTACCACCACTTATATTTTTATAACAGACTAATTCTCTTTTACGGAATGAGATAATCTTAAGGTACGTCAGTTAATTATATTGGAATTTTGGAGCGTTGTACAGGCTTTGTTTTGGCAAACAAAGACGTTCATTATGTTAGAGTTAGAAAGCCAGTAAGAAGATGGAATTTATTTTTGTAAGTTTGGTCTTTTGATCCTTTGAGCCCAAACATATAACGAAGCATATAAATTTATGAGGTATGGATGCAAAACTTTTAATTATATAACAAAATTATATTTATTATCTTTATATTATGTGATCTATGAAATAACTTATTAATCCTGCTTTATACAATTTATAATTTTCGAGAGAATTCAAGATAGAAATCCATTTTTAATTTTATGTGCTTTGTAATATAAGAAACATGAGTAATATTTTGTGTATTCTGATACTTCTCATGTTTTTCAAATTACCTGGCACATAAAATTATGAATGAAATTCTATTCTAAACTCTCATAAATTATAAATTATCTTTGGATTATGTTCTCATTACTTTCTTATTTAAAAATCAACAATACATAGTTTTGAAAACTTGGATAAAGAATAATGAATGGAAAACTTACTGCAATTATTGTGCAACTTTTATCAGCAATTGTGATCATAATCCGCGTAATACGTTAATTGCGCTTATTGATCTGTTTAAAATTTTTCGGTCCCGTGCATCGACCAGTCACACGGCCAATTAACTGGCGAAAAGCCAGGCGTTTGCACTGCCGCGGATATTTACATTACATTAAATCTGAAAGGGATCCGCCGCGCTCTTGTAACGCGTCGGTATACACCGGTTCACCGGGGTGAACGGGTACCCAGCGAACTCTTTGAAGTGTTCTACCTCTAAATGTGCCTATGAGTCATGTCCCTCCGTCAACTTGTTTCTGCGTTCCACCTCGCCAACCCTTCTCGCTCTAAGGTTTAATCGCCGCCTCAATGCTTTTGCGAGATTCGATATACCTTCGCTGATAAACTCGTCGGCGTGTAAATAGATTCCTTTTTATGCTCTTCTCAAAGCTTTTTCGCCTTTGTGCCAACGCAGACGTGTACACGTGGGTCGTGAGTTTCTTAAGTCACTTCTTTTATGCAGCATGATTTTTGCAAATGCGGTTTAAGCATAGCGTTTATTAACCTGAGAATGCACTTTGCAATTTGAAACGTATCGCGTCGAAGTTGCGGTGACATTTAAAAATAACGCCGTCGTTGCACTAAGACGCAATTTCAGCTGAACACACAAGACACGTAACGTTCTGCCATTAATCTTTAACTTTATTAGTTCTGTCAGATTGGAGTGCTGTGATATAACCGCGGGGATAAAGGTCCATTTTATCGTCGCTGTCTCCTTTTATCGCAAAGCTATGAAATTATAGTCCCTTCCGCGATTTTTCTTTACTCCGGTATCATCGCTACGAACTACTTTGGAAGATTGTCGTAATATTCCAACGTCCATTTTATAGGGAGGAGGGGATAAGGGGTAGTGTTTACTATAGCCGGTACACAATGGAAGTCTGCAGGACCATACCGACCTTGTGTACACAGGAGGATAAAAGTAGCAGACTGTTGACTGCGTCGAACATAGACTATGCCCGGGCGCGGACAATATTATTAATAAGACACTTACGGTAATACGTAGGTACGTAATATAAACAATGTAATATCCTCTATTCTCTTCGCGTACACGTCTTCGTTTCTCAGTTACGGGTAGTGCTTCTGGTAATCGCGTTTCGTTTGCCTAGCAAATACTCCGTCGTCTGGCTACCGGTTTTAGTCCCCTAATTTTCCACTTGCACCGTCTGCGTCTCTTTTACAGTGATTTTAACTTAAAGATTGCATAATTCAAGAGTCATAAGATAGGCAATTACAACAGGAAAAACTGCATTTATTCGTCATTCTCTTCTCTCTGTCTTTGTCATGTGAATATGAAATGCAATATCTTTTTTGTTTGCGAAAACTAGTCATTTCGGAATTTTTGCTTTTGAATTTATTTGTAACAACAATTAAAACAAGTATACAGGCTATTTCTAGGATGATTTTTATTTTGTGTGCAAAAACTAAAAGAAAATTAAAGTTGCAATTATTTTTTAAAAATTTGACTTCTCTTACTGGAAGCGCGACAACGCGTATATATTTTTAAGGACTCTTTTCCGTGACAGTTTAATATCCAAGATCCAAAGGCTGATTCATCACTTCGAATCTCCTTCGCCGAGAATGGACGTGTCGAAATTATCCATTTCATGTCTGGCAAAGCGGTATCGGCTTGTATGTCGGAACGTTGAGACGGCGAACGACTACGTCGACGGGCACGGCGCGTCTGAGAGATTCCATTGTCGCGGAACTTCAAATCGAGGGATAATGGGGATTGTATGCTGCTGAATTTCTATTCAGGCTGCTAGCAGCCAGCAGTGGCGTCGTACGAGCCACTTCTTCCGTTTCGGGGATAGAACCCTGCCTCTTCTTTAGCGGTTTCTCCACGTCTGCTTATTGGATTCATTTTCAGAGGGAAGAATTTCGAAAAACTTTCGAAAGTAGTTCAAGCTTCTTCGATCCGCGATTCTGAAACGCATTATTCAGCGTGAATTGCGATTGGCATACCAAATGATAAAACCAGATTTCTCACTTGAGTAAGATCTTTGGTTATAATTAGAAATATTTTTTTTTATAAATTAAGTTTTGGTTGTGTGTAATTTAATGATAAAAAATTATTTTATTTTAAATAGGTTACTTGAATAAAATTCGAAATCTTAAGAAAATTTAATTTGCAGGCTTAATTTAAAAAAAGTTCTAATTTATGACTTTATTCGAATTTCCTCCATAACGATTTGTGTTTCAAATTTAAATAACAAATCTATTCTTAACGTTTCACACGGTAGTCACAACTCACTCAATGTATGTCGTATGGATTACGTTTCTGTCGCATGTATGTAAACGCGAACGGATCATGCTCGGACTCGATTCCAACTAGAATTGTATATTGTGAAACGAACTGATGTGTTTCGCGTGTGTACGCATAAAACTAAACACAAACGTATGAGCATCCGCGTTAGAACAGTCCATACAGTCCGCTTTTATATGGTGGAATTGCAACTAAGTGCGATTTCGTGTCAAGTGACCAAATCCAATTCTCTGATTTTAATGCGACTCTGACGCTATTAGGACCGAGTAAAGTAGGAACGATTTTCATTATCAATCGTACGGTGCTGCGACAATAGAGTGAAATAGAAAGGATTTTCATCGCCGTTGCTATTTTTATGGCTGAGAGCTGCGATTATGTCGTAAGAGTATCGATGGAAAAGTGTCATTGTAATATTACTATTTTTATTGCGCCTTCAAAATTTTGTAATTTTTTTATTCTTTTCGGTTTGAATGCAAGAATTGTTTTCGCAAAATGGAACAACTAGAAAATTTTCGAAATATGACTAAATTCTGAAATATATTTAAAATTTAATTTAACTACTAAATACATTATAAAATTAGATTGAAAATTATATTTTAAAACGGAATTTACTGTGTGTGTGAGTGCATAATAATTATAAATTATAAAAGATTTTAATACAGAATATATTCTGAGATAGTTTTTTAATAACATATATGTAATTAAAGAAAATTGTATTAATACATTTTTACTGAAAATTTAAAGCAGACGAAGAGATGTTTGAAAGCAATTTTGTCATGTAATGCAAGGTTAAAAGTGTTTCACCATTAGCTCTACATTCTTTTTTGGGGCGTTGAAGACGTGACTTTACCTTTGTCCTCTAGTCACGTTCGCATACAACCATCTGTTTTCTTTTTTCTGAATCCTCATAAAGTATACTGGGTGTTCCACATCTACTAAGTTAGCTTTTATCTATTTTCTATGCAATTTTTTCTTAACGAAAACGTTGAAAGACTAATAATTTATAAGAGATTAGAAATAAATGAGAATATTATACGAAATAAAAAAGAGAAAATAATCTAAAAAATAAAATCATTAGAAGTTTTAGTGAATTATAATTAAATCAAATATTGCAGTTAATGCGTTTTGCAAGAATTATTTTTAATCACTGATGCAAATCGTGATAAATTTTGGCAATAAATTCGACAGAAATGAAATAGATCAAAATTGCTATTTTAATCTTTATTCTTCTTTCATCACATTACCTTCTATTTATTTGTTCAATGGTGATGGTGGCATTTCGCGCCTCGTAGCTTTAAGATACACAGGTACCTTGTAAAGGAGATGCATGTGTGTCGGCATCAACGATAGACGAGCGTAGGTGGAGTCGACGAAGAATGAGGGTTGGATGTGAGCACTTGACGGGAGGAGTCCGATGTTGGTGTAGATCGTGGTAAGGTTCTTGTGCTCAAAGGAACCTTCTACGAGACCTATTGAGTTTGCCACTCGGACTCTTCATCGCGCCACTCCTCTGCTACACTATACTCTTCCCTGTTCGTGTGAAGATAATGAATGGTCGTTTTATTTAATCATGTCGATTTTATTAACAGTGCACGAACCAGTGCACGATTTATGTGACGAGAAATTCGTTGCGTGATCTTGATATAATAGGGGGGATAGATCTCGTATCCTAGGAGGCATTTTATAATTGGAAAAACTGTTGAGATGAGAAAAACCTTTGCCTGTAATTGATTTTATGAACGCAATCTAAAATTGCAATTTAATTTTTCAGAACTTGATTCTTTGATCTATTTGTTTTAAAACGCGAGATTGCGAAATTGCTTATTTCTTCATTTGGTGCAGCTTGCGCCAAAGAAATTATAAATAACATAATATCTAGTATGCGAAATGTTGAACTTTACAACTTTGTGAAATATGAAGTTTCTGCAGCTTGTAATGAATTATGCATACAAAAGTGTTACATTACTGTATATTAGAACATAATAAGCTCAAGCTTGTGTAACGTAACAACGCTATTAAGCCGTTGTTGTCAGAAATGAACTTGTTACTTTAATATTACAAATATATTATTATATTTAAATGAAAAAAAAATATTGAAATTTATATTATAGAGAAATCTGGCCTGAGAACGATTGCTTCGGAAGAGCGGATATATCGCCGGAGGAGGAATTTTTAGCTCTTCGCGAAATCTTCTTTGCAGACCTGGGCGGTGAGTAATTTATTCCAAAATTTTATTTTCAATTTTGTAGTTTTGATATAAACTTTTATTGGCATTTCTTCGTTCCTAAAACTATTTAAACGAAATCTGTGGCAGTACACAGACTAATCGGATTAAAAAGCAAAATATCATGTATTGACAATCTCCGGTAGCGCCTTCGAAATAGAGTTAAAACTTGGTACTTTCAAAGCGTCGCTCATTAGCACTTTTTGCTTCCCCTGAGGATTGCCGGTACAACTTCAGTCTATCGCGAAACTTATATCCTCTCTGCATACATAACCCCGTGAGAAAAGAGTAGCTCCTACTTTACGTCCGCCTAATTATAAAGAGCAAAGTCTGTTATTAGGTTAAAGTATGAAAGTAATGAGTTGTTTTCCTTCCTTTACGGAGAAGAGTTCGTTACGACTGCTGATTTATTGAATTACGAAGTTTACTGAAACATTTTGGAAAGGAAAAAATAAAAGAGAAACGTGAACGTGTATACAAACTATAATAGCATCGTGCATTTTTCGTTAAGAAAATATCCGAAGGAACAAAGATATATAAATACATGATTTCATTCGAGATGCGTTTCCCTTGCAGGAACGATTTGTAATAACTGGCGCATATATCACGACACAAATTTAATTAAACGCGCCGTTGGTATTCATTTCATGCGCCTAATTTATGTGTGAATAACTACGCTATTCAGTACCGAGATTTTGCGACGATCCGCCACGTATTTATCTCTGTTCATTACCAACACAATAGTAGCTGCTGTAGACGTTTAAAATCTTTTAATTTTAACGTTATGCTTCTGCAAGCAACAGCAGTTCACTTTAATGAAAAAAATAATTGTTGTGGTTGAATTTTCATAGGAAATGTTACCTTTGTTGGTGTAGAATGTAAAGCATTTCATTCTACAAAAGCCATTATTATTATTAAAGCCGTTATTATTATATACACGTTGAAGTACGCGAAGCGCGACCGATTGATCTCTGTCATACTAGGAATTTTAGAAATTAATAATTAATTAATTTAAGTAAAAATTAGAATTTTCCACATGAAATTTATAACTTTAAAGCAAATTTATAAATTGGAAACCGATTTTCTCTATATTATTGCATCAAATTTATATTTTCGGGAATATAAATTTGACTTTGTAGAATCTATAGGTACAATAGAATTATCGATTAGATATCTATTTATTGTAATATACTGGTAATATCTCATTACATGAGCGACAAGTGCGCGCTCAACTTCCTTCCGTCGCCCTTTGTCACGAACGTCAGCGTAATAAAGAACGTTTTACGATCGCATGAATTACAAATTGTTCTACTGAATTCTACAGCTTAGAGCACGACAACACTGTCATGTGCATCTTCTTATATAGATGGTAGCGGGCTGACAAAGTCGTTAAATGTTAATCTCTCTTTTATATCCTGCCAACGTGCCATAGTCGTCATGCAGTATTCACCTACAGTGTGTTTTATATAAAACATCAGCGCCGACATCCAGACTGTTTTATTTTACGACGTGAGTAGTCTGAGGCACTACTCCATTATCTCCGCGTGTCTGAACCTCGCGCAATCTTTATACGTTAACCGATTATTCTTGCTTTTCCCTTTCTGCACAGGGAAAAAGTCTTGAAGAAAAAAAATAACAATTTATTTATTTATCTTTGATTATACTTTAGTTAGTAAATAAAAAATTCTCGATTATTCTCTAAAAAAATCGAATTTAAATTTGTTAAAGAATTGATAGAAACAAAAGGAATAATCGCATTTGTCGATACATGAAGGATTTGACGTAGTGACGAAAAGAATTATCTGCAAATAAAGACAAGTTTATATATTCTGGCGAAAGGGTGTATGCATGTGCGTACGGATTTTATCGGGGAAAGCGGAATCAGTCGATCCCACATTGGTTTCGTCGATTGAAGTTGTTTTTCCGCTTCGGCTACGTCCGCACACACTTTATGCATCTGGATGGGTGTACTTTGCGACTCGGCCACATCCCGATGGCTTTGCATACGGTGTACATAATAGTCTAGTAGTATCTGTTTCGCGCTGATAAACCAACTGCGGAAATTGGCGGCTGTTCCGCGAGACAAGTTTTTTCGTCGGTTACGAAAATATGACTTGTCGAAATACGTTTAATCTGTGCAATATCCGCACAAGTATTTCGATGTCATTGTTATCGCAATTCTGCTATCTGTTTCACAGTTCAAAAAATAATGATTCGAAAAGTTTCATTTTCCACCAAAAAAAAAAAATAACGCCATTTCCTGTTTCTCAATTTGCGGAAACAGTTTGAATAATTTGAAAATGTTGCGATATTCGCGGAACAGGTTAAATTGATAACTTGGACAATTAGATATTCGAAATTGCTTCTCGAACTCGTTAATGATTTTGTAGCAAGGAAGCCAGAGAGGTCAGGTAGGGAGCGGAGCAAACGATTATTTGTCATCCGTGACAAGGATACTTCATCAAGAACGTTTATAAATAATCGCGATCGATATCGAGGAGGTTTCGCAGCATACCGGAAGGTTTTACTTATTCATGTCTGTCTGCGAGTAGAACGGTACTACCATGTATAAAGTATACGTTTCATCGACTCGTGCTCGGTCCAAAGTATGAGAGTAGGGAGCAGAGGAAGATGTGCTGTACTTGGGTGCGATTTTTCTCCTTTCTTCGCTCGATTCCAACTTGTTAGACCGAATGGGTGATGGATGCTCGCGAGGAGTCAGCCCATGTGTTCTTTTCTCTTCGAAGTCGAACGTTTGATGAATGAAGGCTGAATTGAAAAGTCTTGACGGAAGGGAGCGAAACGCAGCGACGAAATTTGCATGCCGCGGTCGTAAAAGCGATCCCTTCTTCGTGTCTATTCAATTTGTACACGTTTAGTTAACTAACGTATGTGTTTTGCCAAGATCTCTCGGATTCTCTTGCCGGTGTGTATTTATATTCATCTCCCTTTGTATTATTGTAACGAAGCGAAAATTAATACTATTATATAAAATTAATATTTATAATTAATGCTTAATGTAAACTTTTTATTAAAATTACTTTATTATTTTATTAAAATAGTAACGTGTTTATTAATTTTAATCATAAATTGAATTCGGTAATATTATATTTCTCGGTAATTTATATTTCTTGGATGAAATAAATATTATTACGTTGCTGCAAAATTTTTCTCCTCTACGCAAGGATGTCCTCTACGAGGACGACATGCTCGCGTGATTTTTCCGCAGTTCCGCAAATGCGAATACTCGGGGTAGTTTCATTAATTTTTTCACCACTTTTCAGCATCGAGTTTGTATAACCATAATAACTTTTCTTATTTACCGTAATGCGGAAAAAAGTCATCTTTGACATTTCCTGAAAGTACCGTGTACCTAAAATACGTAGATTGGCGACGCCGGATACTGGTTGTATGTCGAGGAAGTGGAGAAGTGGCTTCGAGAGGTATGAAAGAACTTTTATCGGGGTGGAAACTTCGTCTTCCTTCCGAGCGGCGTGAAGCCATAGGAACGAACGGGGAATTATTTAGTACAAGACGTAGAGTAAACAACAGATGTACTACCAACATTTGTTCCGAGCTTTATTCTTTTTTGCGTAACTTTTGAAGCGACCCTCTAATGCGATTCTCTTCTCTTACATTTAGCAGAATGGAGATATTATCGAAAAATGTGCATTATTTGCAATCAGCTTGCGTTTTGCGCTGCGTAAGCGCTTGTAGGAGTTGAAGTTAACCATACAATGGCAAGATTAATATTTAAAGTGCAAATTCCTATACTTCTTAACTTTTTACAATTTACTAAATTCGATCGAGTATCTTGTTCCTTTTTTTGCATTGTTTTCGCATTGTGGTATTATCCTTTTTACTTCGCTGTGGCAACACGGCTGAAATAATCAGATCGAATCGACGTTCCGGGGGATTTGAGGCAAAGCGAGGGCTGAAATTTACATCCTGTGCTTGCTCAAGCGATCGCTACCATATGTTTGCATTCTCATAGCGTCCTTCTTCCACTCCACGTCGGTGCTTCAGGTAATTCGGCCAGGATCGGTACGCCACGTCCGCTGGCCTCTGATCAAATTGCGATGCACCATATTACCTCTTGCGATTTCAAAATAAGCCAATTCAGCATCTGTTGTTGGATTTGAATTTTCCGATCTTGTATAAGATTTTATTTTTTTTATTTTTTTATAATGTCGGCATTTTTGTAATTATTATATTAATTTTATTTATAAATTTTTATTGTTTGCTACGTACGTACATTAATACGCTTGCCTTTTTGAGAAAGATCTTGTTTAAATATATTCGTACTGCCTTTAATTAGTAGTCATACGCGGAGAAAATTTTATATTAAAAATTACTTATGATACGGCAATAGCCGGCGGACTATAATTGTAATTTTAAATACTATGGCCATTACGTGAAAAACATAGTAAAAATTTTTAATTCTTAATTTCTTCATAGTCCGCAACTACTGTACATAGGAATTTTTTATATAAAATTTTTTCCACGTATTTATTCTCATTGATAATCTACGAATTATTCACATTTTTGTTTTTTTTGTGTGATATAAATTAAAAAATGAATGTTTTGTATAAGTTTAAGAATTTTTTCAACAAATTAAAAATTTTTTATTTATCGTGGAAAGATAGAGAAATGTCTGTACTTTAGCAACAACCAAGTATTGAGTGGAGTGTTGAGGGAGTACTTCAATCCGACATTTAGCAGTGTTCAAGTATCAAGGAAACAACGACGGCGCGTTAATGTTTCTTTTTCATCGTTTCCCCTCATGCCGTAGCGATATGATAGTCCCCTCCCTAACGACGTATAACCATTAATATGCAAAAGCGGTACTCAACGAGTTCATTCATTTCATCATGCCTTCCCCTGTCGCTCGTTCTCCCTTTCCCTTTCTACATTGGCGGTAGATATTTTACCTTTGCCATTCTTGTTCGGGCATACCTTGGGAGATATTCATGTGAAATATATCC